AAAGAAATCTATCTTTTGTTTCATCCCATTCATCCTTTACTTTGCTTTTGTGTTGAATTGCCTCTCTTAGAAACGTGACTGATGTCCTCGGAGTTATCTTCTGCTCTTCTGTCACAACAGTGCAGTTCGGAGTGCTCAAAAGTATGACCAGTGTGTCCCACATTGGTGGTGAAATATTCTTACTTCCCATTTATGCATGGGATATGGTAGCAGTGACAAATCTTCTACAGGCCTCAGTGGTAGCTATCAGCCCACTGCAGTATGAGTGCCACAAGTTTGCCACACTATGATATGGAATTTGAAAATCTATGAGATTACAGTGAAGATAAACTTAGTGTATAAAAAGATGTTGAAAAAGTATACTAGTTACTGGTCTCATCCTGCCATTGGCATTTTCCTTATTCTGTATATTGTCCCTCTCCACATTGACAGTACTTTAGAGAAATATTCAACATGAAGTGCTAGCCTAAGCAAAATGTGAGGAGAATCAGTAAGTTTGTGCCACACTACCATGAGGTCGGAACCTATTTTTGAAGCTTGCTAAAAATAGATGATCATCATATGTTCAAATTCATTTCTTTTCTCGTTCACTCCCTCTTCTCAGCTGAGTATCTGTGAATGCTGATATCATCAGAAGTAGATTTTCTTCTCTGTTGTTATAGACATCTGTAAATATGGCATAAAAAGTAGTAGAATGGTGATATTTATGAAGTGCTATCTGACAATAAATATGGCTTCTATGCCAGAATTATTTAAAAATGCATTGAACGTTTACGAGCAGAAACACTGACATTTAGGAAGGGATACTTGTCTGGTTTCATGGTTGGCATAAGAGCCAGGCTGAAGCACTGCTCGTAATAATATAGCTGAAGGAGGAGCCTGACTCTCAGACCCAAAAAAGAAACAGGAGACTGTTGAAACTCAAGGGATACATGTAACCATTTTTAAAGCAAAGAAAGATTGTACAAAATATGAATAAAATTATTGAGACTTATTGGAAATAGATGAAATATTCAATCTCTCTTAAGGCCAGTTCTTGTCAATATCTGCTGTTGAAGTCTTACTTATTGGTTGTCTGAGGATGGCATTTGATTGTGGAATTCTCCAAGCACATGCAAATATGCTAACGGCAGAAGGAGAGATTTGAGGCTCATGGATCCCATGCAGAGCCTGAGATTGATAATGTGGAGAGTAAGATACACTCAACTTTGTATTCCCTTGAATAATAAATATTTGAAGAAATAGCCAGCTTTATTAGATTGCACATTAGATCAGAACTAGGAGACTTAATTTCTATTCCTACTTTTGACATTGAATAGTAGAAGTATAGATAAGTGAGAGTAATTCTTGGATTTATGTAATTACCAGTAATATTGGTTCACTGATTACAAGGATTCCTTCCGTATGTGCATGTACAGAGCATTTCATCTGACACTTACTTAGAGGAGAAAGTCTTCTTTTATGCCAATAGTAATCTCTAAAATCTTTACAAAATTACTTTTAAAAACAAAATTTTATTGTAAATTTTTACAATTACTTTTTCCTGACCTGTATCATCTACTGATGATTCTGTGTTAGTGATTTGGGAGCCAGGAAGAGAGATGTCTCCCACCTGTACTGGGTACATTAAGGCTAAATCCCCCAGGGACAGTCTGCAATTCCTAGCTCTGTCAATGTCTATCTTATTGTCAGAAAATGAGATATTTCCAAATGAGAGAAATAAAAACAGCCTAATAAGTTGATTTCAGCATAGAGAGCAGAATTGGAAGCCGGCATCAGAGTTAAGAGAAAGCCCAAAATTCTTTGGGAACTGTAAGAGCAGGGAGCCACCGAGGCCTCTAGCATTTCAGGTGACAGGGAGCACGGGGACAGCAAAAGCTGAAGAGTCATTTATAGCTAGCAAGAGCCTCAGTGGATGGACACAGACGGAACTCAGGGATTCTGGAACCTGGTCACCTCGCAGTGAGGAAGGAGCCCCTGAAGAGTAAATGATGAGAGGCCTTCTCCACTGTCGTTCCGATGTCTTGCCCCTGTGTGACAGCAGCCCATATCAAGGGGCAGTCAAAGACTGAGTAAGGCATGGGGCCTAGATCTGATTCCAATTAGCAAGCAATGTCCCAGTGCACAAAAGAAAAGAATTCACAGTTTTGCTGAAGATGCAAATAGAGAATATCAGTGTGTTAGGTTTCCTGCACTGTTATAAGCATTTGAGATAGTCAAATAATGGAAAAATGTGCCTTTCGGCTCACAATTTACAGGTTCCAGTTCATACTCAAATATGCCCACTGCTTTCAGTTCTGTGAGAAGCAGTAGAGTCAAGCACTAGTGCATCTTGTGCTCAGGAAGCCAAAGACTGGAAGAAGAAGGGGTTTGGGTGCCATTGTCTCCCTGGAGGGAAACTGTTAGTGACACAGAGATTTCATAAATGCCTCCCCTTTGCAGTGGCATGATGCCAACTTCCAAGTCTTTAGCATGTTGAACTATGAAGAACTGTGATCCAAATTATGATTCTTTTGTGCTAGAAAAATATCTTGTTCACTCCATAAAAATGTAGTTTTGTATTTTGAGTAGACATTTAGAATAACTCTGCATATAGTAATTTAAAATAGAAACTTGAATTTCTGAAAAACATCTCAGATCTACACTTAGGTATCTGTTATAAGCACTGTGAAGTGAAATATGATTAGCAGGAACCTAAATTCCTCAGCAGATGATTGACTTAAAACACTAAAGTAGATTAAATAGCTTACCCTGATCTAGAAGGGAAACAGAAACTGGCTTGCAAAAAATTGGATTCAGTTCATTATATATATGACTGGGGTCGTTTCGGGTTTTTGAATGAGAAACATAGCGAAGAGAAGTATAAAATAGAAGGGGAACACAGATGGATAGAAACATGGGAATGGAGATAGAAGAAGCAGAGTAAGGGAAGAAGTAGAATTGAGAGGATGGAGAAAATAAAAGAGATTGTGTCCAATTATTCAACTGACATTTCAGGAAAATTAATACCTTAAAGAATCTACTTTTGATACAGTGAACTATGACTGAAAAGCTTAGAGTGTTACATTACTAAAGCAGGATAATTATACAGTTAGTAAACATAAATGTATATGTACTCACTCAGATGTGTAACAAAACTAAACGTAACCCTATACACAAAGTACTAACAGAAGGAAGGCGAGGATGATAAGGATGAGCAGGAGGAGAAAGGGCGGGGGAATGGAGAAGCTGGAAAATCCCGTGAACAGAAGGTCCTGCTTTGTTGTTTAGGATAAATATCCCTAGGCAAATTTCAGTGCCGCTGTCTGCGGATCACCCCACTGTAACTTTGTGCATCTCCTCTGCACGGACAGTGAGCTCCAACCTTACTTCACTAAGGTGTGTGGCACTTTGGGCCCAGCTCAGGTGTGATCTCCTGGTTCCCGAGCAATTTTCACAGCATCACTTGCAGCCTGAGATCTTAGCAGCATTGGGGGCCGTGGGGAGGACAGCCTTGCAGCAGCCTTGTCTTTTCTCTACCTGTTACACTGACCTTTATCTACCAGGCAGTATAGTGATTTATGTGTTTTTGTGACACTTCTTGGAGAAATGTTGCTAGCAACTTCTTGCTGGAGACAATTATTTCTGTTAGATTGTGGAAAGAAATTTCAGCAATTTGACTTTTATTATTTTAACAGTGCAGAAAAAATAGTTATTACTTTTAAGATGAGACAGTTTACATCCTGACAATGAGCATGTGTGAAATTCCTTAAAATTAAAAGAAATTTCTCAAGGAAGGGGTCTTTGAGAACCCTCTCAGAGTAACAGGAATGGGTATGATGTCAGGAGGTGTCAGCGTAGTCCTCTCGCTTCTTCAGAATCTTTAGGAAAGTGTCCACCTTATTTGTATCCCTGCGCAGGCACCTGCACAGGTTGTAAAAGGTATCCATGAATACGTCTCCATTAGTTGACTGCAAAGATGGGAGTTCTTTCCAGAGGACAGGTTCCCCATAGTTCCAGATTTGAGGGTCAATCTGGTCAGCAAAGAGAGAAACAGCACATTATTCATAGAAATGCTGCATTTTATCTTTGAATTCTATTAGCTTTCACTCAAGATTTAAAAAGAGAGGAA